AAAGACCCGCCATCTTAACAGAGGGCAAGGAAAGCCCCACTTATTCTAGGGAGATCATGATCCCGCTTTTGTGGGACTGGTAGAACATGCTGTTTTGTGGACTTTTCTACAACATTTCGTTGATGAGAGCCAACGTCTACGAGGAACTGCTTCAAAAGCTGGCTGCACCATTACAAAAGAAGAGTCCGAAACGGCTTAACATCTTTATTTTTCGGAATAACTTTCGGCTTCGCATTGCAAAATCTACTCGCCTCATTTTGGACAAACTGGGCTCAGTCCCCATACCGTATTTGCTGTATAGCCCTGATATTACCCCATCGCATTATCATATCTTTCATGCCTTGGGCTAATATCTTCAGGAGAAAAAAAACCAGCCCAAAAGTGAACGGTAGACCTTTCAGCTAAATCACATTTCATTGTTTTATCTTAGTGCAACATTTCGAGCTAATTTATCATATGAGAAAGATCCAACAGTAAGGATAAATAAGCTATATAGCCGAAAAAAACTCACAGCGGTGAAAACAGCATCGACAACATTTCCTTCGCAATGCTGAATCGGTACGTCAATGTAGATTTCCCACATGAATTCTTTATAAAGCATCTGAAAATACCCAACGCGACTCGTTCAGTAAACGTTTCAACTACGGGAGGAGAGTGTTAGGAAATATATAAGACGACAAATGAAAAACCGATCTCATTCGTTCGACAGGAACTTTTCATAAAAGTGCTAGTAATCATTCAAAAGCCTAATTCTCTGGCTAGAGTTGCACGTGGCTGGTATTTGCAAGTACCCTTCTATAGCGTTGTAGGAATCAAGATAAAATTATGTTTCACATCGGCTGCGCAATCCAAATATTATCTCGCCGGTATCACCAAAAAGCACGATCGTGCAGGGAATTTATTGCAGTAGCAGAGACTTGCGATTAATCTGGAATTTCTTTCAAAGCGAAGAAGTAATTCCTAATTGATTACCAAGCATCGCACTTTTCCGAATCGCCAGTCGATCGATCGTGGCCGGCCGGAGCATCCAATCTGCGGCCACCAACCCCGGACCATCAATTAGCCCTGTAAGCATGCAACCCGAATGTGCAAAACTTGATCTCATTTTTTCTGCTACACAACGATCTTCCCAGAAAATAAGCACAGCGTTGAAATCCTTGAATCCTACGCTATCTAATGATTACTAATAGTCTAAAGTGAGAGCTGTGTCTTGCGAGAAAAATGCGTTATGAAACACAAGTGTTTTCCTTCTGTAACAACGTCAAAAAAAGGTTTAATCAAGAAACGACCAAGAAATGTAAAATTTTGAATAGTTGTTGGCACTCTTATGTAATTCCTGTTCAGCGAATGAGATCGATTTATCATTTGTTAACATATAATAGGTTTCTGAATCTGTATAATGTTAATGTTACCATATATAAGTCCCTGTTTAATGAAGGTCATAGTTTTGACCCATTTTCACATTTCTGTCTCATATCGTGAGAGTAACATATTTACTAAGATGCGAAATTTCTTGAAGCAACGTATATCAAGGAAGTTGTAGTATGTAGCTGAAGTACGCGTAGAATGAGCATGCGTTCCTTACTCTGTAGATTACTTCTTTTAACTCGTTGTGAACGACGTGTAACTGTCCTGGCACACGACTGCTTCAAGACCTTTCTCTCTGGACAGAGACTTTTCAAACCTTCAGTAAACATTTGAGTGCTCGAATCTATGCGATTTCGACAGCATACTTGGCTTCCAACAGGCTCTTATTATGCTGAGGCGATGAAAATAAAATTATGCTTCACACTTAATGATATATTTGCACAGCTGAGGTTTGTCAAGAGTTCGCTGAACTTTTAATGTCCATTCGATAACTCAACTCGATAGTTATGAGATCTAAATTTTTTTTCCAAAACAGTTTTCACAAAACACTGTAGGAGCACAAAGAAGATTACTTGTTCGCCCCCGAAGTAATTAGCCCACCGCTTGAACTACGCAGCAGATTTGTTAATACTTGCTAGTAAAGGTTAGAGGCACTTTATTGTTACAAGGAGATGAAATCCCTCAAAATTTTTTTCAGTATGTCTTAGGCAATTCTACAAGGGGAGAAATAGAAGTTAAAAATATCCAGATTTCCGGGGATTCCGTTTCCTATTTTCTAGGACGCAGGGGCGATCTTCTTGCTGGGAATATCTTTACAAATGTCTCTCCGTGATATTTACCATTCCTTGACAAGAAAATGCTCCTATCAGCTACATCTCACTTCAGAACCGCTAGCAAAACGAGATGAAAAACGCCAGCTCGCTACTACTAGCGCGAAGTGCGTTTTACTTGTCGTTGGTACTTTGCACTGAGAATATCTATGCAGAAACAAGGCGGAGTACTAAAATTTCCATTTCTCAATCCATCGTATGATCATCAATAGCTTAGTGGAAATGCTCTGCTTTTTTTTCAAAAAAAGCAACGAAACGTGATCACATTATTACACGGAATGCGGCCTTACTTCACACGGTTCGTAACAAATAGTGAGAGTTTTTCAAAAAAGTCAGCGTTCTTTTTACTGAAAATACGTTTACCAGCAGCCACTTCACTAATAATCTATCCTTTCATAATAATAAAGTCTCCTTAGAATCGAATCGCACCAAAATCCTCTGTCAAGTTGAAATATATAACTTCGAAAAGCAATAGAATATAATATGTGGACCTCTATAGAAACAAAGCCTAGTGTTTTCTGCATCGAATCTTTGAATGACTAGATAACCCAGATAAAGTGTGAGAACAACGACTTACAACTTTAGATTTTGAGGAGCTGACAGGAGAATTTCATGAATCTCTATTACTATTATGACTAACGCTTCGGAGGTAATGAATTAACTCTTTCGAGATTGCAGGTGAAATCACTTCCAAGTTCAATCCGGATTTGAAGCACGATTTTCTTCATTTGACTGGAGATTTCTCTTCCGTTTCGTAAAAAATATGGATCGTTTTCATTACTTTGACGCTGCAAGCTCTGATTTGTTGAAAATGTTACTGCACGCTGGCTGCGATGCGAGTTCATCAGTATTCCTCAACATTGTCTTCCATATTAGTGGCTTGAAGGGTGGAAACATTCACAGAACTCTGACGAAAACTTTGTTCTATAGTTCTCTCTTAGTGTAAATTTGTTACTTCCTAATTTATATTGCAATAGAGCGCATGCGGAGTGGTGGTTAGCGGTGCTGTGCTTCGCACACAAGGTCTATAGATCGATCTAGCGCTTATGGCTCACCTAGTCTTCCATCTCTTCATGGTTGTTAAGTTAGTGCGAGACTTGTTTCGGAGGATGAGCAGCACTAACTTGATACATGATAGACCACCGCGAGTTATTGTACAATCCAGATATGCATTCGTTAACTTCAAACTAAGCCGAAATTTAAAGACGATTGCATGGCTTTTTCTTAGAGACCTATCAACTCCGCAAACTTCATCTCTTTTTTTACTTAGTATTGCTAATAAAACCGCTACGAAACTCAAGCTGGTCAAGCAACTCGGAAGGCGAAACGTAATTTTCTCACCGATCTTCAATCTGCTCAGAAGGCTTTGCAAAAAGCAAGCTTCGACTAGAATCATGATTTACTGAGCTATTAAACGTTTACTGAAATTCGGTAACAAAGCTTTATACGCCGAAAACAGACTTTAAATTGGTGTGTACTCAAAAGAATACACGCGAGCCCCAGGGGTTTAACCTCTAACGGACGGCTATAACAATCGATACCTTCAGAGCGATTTGTGCGATTTTCGTTGTTTGGCTGAGGTTTTTATCTTCCTTTAGAGAAAATTCTTGGAATTATTGTATCAATTTGCTAAGATAAGATTTTCTCTATTCGGTCATACATCTTTGGTTTAGTTATATGAGTCTTCTGTAGAGAAAAACTCTCGGTTACAATGCAGTCGTACTGAATGGCATTCAATCAATTGTATTTCATTGTACAAAGAGGATCACAAGAAAATTCTTTAGCTTCTCCCTCAGTATTATACGATACCCAGAAGTCGCCATGGCAGTTAAAAAACGAAGAATAGCTCGTAATTTGGCAGGATTATTACGCATGCTGTATTCGACACCTGTTAGTCGAAAACTCTTACTATAACTAAGCTTATATCAATCGTTCTTTTTCTCAATTATTCAGAGTTGACGTACGCGAGAAAAGGTTGAGTACTTATGCATAGTGGAAGAATTGTCGGCGGTGTGGGACAACCGTGTCAGAATAAAAGGCTTAGGACTTTGATATTATGCAAACTATTGCTCAGAAATATGTGTCTCCAGATAAGTGTTCTCAGGCTTCGGTGTTTTATTCCTTTTCGAGGCTTTCGTAGTTATTCGACAGTTTCAATATCGGAAAACTGAAGGGTGGGTTTTATTTTTCAAGTGGTTTCCATATTATACTGTAAATGTGAAGTAAACTTATCGGTACTTCTGTGTTAGACAGCGACAAATTTTTAAGTCGATCTTATTCGCTGGACGGGAATTTTTTATACATGCGTTAGTAATCATTCCATACCATAAATCCATGGCTATAACTCACATTTTCAAATTTTTATTATAACACCCTTTTATGACACTGCAGCATCCAGAATGAAATCTTGTTTCTCACTTGGTTCCCGCCTTCGTTTTTATCACGCATACTAGCTAAAAGCACGAAAAGCATCTCAACGTATAGATAATTTTCGATAGCATCGGAGCCTACGTTTTAACTTGAAGTTTCTAGTGATGTAGTGAAGAGATCCCCCAGTCGAATAATTTTTCAAACGCTATCGGTTGCTTCCCTTCTCCCCTTCCCCCCTCCCCTCGCTTCGTCAGTTGGCCGGTACGCGAAGTAGTCGAAAGGCTCATAGCTGAGTAAAATGTGAAGGGAAGCCACAACAACGACTTGTTAGTGAGGCTATCGCCTGATCCACTACATAGCTCGTGATCTACCGCGCCATGCGTCAAAACGGCTGCGACTATTTTAATTTGTGGCGTGCCCTGCAAAAACATTTGCGCCAGCCGGGGTTCGAACCCAGATCTCGATCTTTCTCGGAGATGTGTGCTGAATCGTTTCACCACCAACGCCCGTTTTGCACAGCACTCTTTTTACCCTAAAAACGCGTTATCTGTCAACAGCCAATCGTCGACGGCCTGGCGGGGCAGCCGCCACCGGCACTGAACTAACTCATTTGATTGATATTGGGTATTAATAATCAATCGAAACTCATTTATCATATCTTTCGTTTCGAGTGCTTTCTTAAGTCAGAGCAGTCGCTAATCATCTTTTGAGTCACGCATGTTAGTGGTTTGTCAAAGAGGGCTGACTTATAGATCCCGATACACGTGTTTTGATCTTGCGATCTCGTCAGTCGGGCAGTTACCCTTTCTCGTCTTTTGCTAATCTCTGTGGGTGCCCAGTCCCCACACTAAGAGTTAACGACGACGGACGCTTGACACCTCATGTACAGTGAAATCCTCACAAAACACAGTGTGTTGTGCACTTGATTGCTCTTGGCTAGTAAATTCAATATATCACATCTTTCGTTTCGAATGTTTTCTTAAGACCACAGCTCAAATTTCAATATGCGTGATAATTATTTTTTGAGCCACGCATGTCAGCGGTCTATCAATCGAAATTCATTTATTTCACTCCCTCTTGCGGTGATATGGTTTTATGATATACCCAATAATGTGAAGCGTAAAGAGAGGGTTGTGCAAAACGGGCGTCTGTGGTGCAACGGTTCAGCACACGCTCCTGGAAAGTGTGAGATCTGGGTTCCAGTCCCGGCTGACGCAAATGTTTTTACACAGCACTCCACATTATTGGGTATGTTATAAGGCCATATCACCGCAATAAGCGGTCAAATAAATGAATTTCTATATGCCTGGTAATCATTTTTGAGCCACGCACGTCAGTGGTTTCAAAGAGGGTTCACTTATAGAGCCCAATCCACGTGTTTCGATCTTGCGATCTCGTCAGTCGGGCAGTTACCCTTTCTCGTCTTTTGTTAATCTCTGTGGGTGCTCCAGTCCCCACACTAAGAGCTAACGACGACGAACGCTTGACACCTCATGTACAGTGAAATCCTCACAAAACACAGTGTGTTGTTCACTTGATTGCTCTTGGCTAGTATATTCAATATATCACACCTTTCGTTTCGAATGTTTTCTCAAGACCACAGCTCAAATTTCAATATGCGTGATAATTATTTTTTGAGCCACGCATGTCAGCGGTCTATCAAAAAAAAAGGAATTTTGATTGATTATTATTGGTTTATTCGGATTTTACAACGTATCAGTAGAAACTTTGAATAGAATTGTCGATTCTGGTGCTATGATAAATTCGCTAGACGCTCATATGCTTTTCATGCTCTCAGCGAGTTATTTTCGTTATGAAAATGAAAATGAAAAGCGAGGGAGAAACAAAATTTCATACTGGACGTGACAGCATTATAAAATGGTGCTTTGAAAACGTACAGTTGTTGCCAGGGATTTAGTTTTCACCATTACTAACGCTCCTATGAAGACTTCTTGTCCAGCGAATGAGATCGGCCTGAAATGTGCCGTCGTCTAACATATGCATGGAATTTTCTTTCACATACAAGCATTTTTCGCTGGACAAAGATTTTCATTCAGACCTCCAATGACCATTCAATAGCACAAATTTCACGATCTCAATGATAAGTTTGGTTTCTAAGAGGGAAGTTTTATTGCGTTGTTACAGCTAAAAGATTACTAAGTTTTGCAATCGACGCCGTGTTGATCACACAGCGCAATTTCCACGTGCCGTGCGATGCGCGCCAAGTGCAAAGCGCAATATTTTTTAGCTGCAGCAGCGCACAAAAAGGTCTTTCTTAAAAACTGGGCATACCATTAAGTTTGCTACGATTTAAGCTATCGAATAGGTGTGAAAGCCTGGTAGGAAAGCCGTGCTTAGCGGGAAATTCTCAGGCGTGCAACACTGTTCTTCTTGCTCTTAAGGTTGGATTATGGGTGCCAATACTTTTTTTCCACTCACTAGGTGTGCTCTGAACACTCTTCCAAAGATTAAGTGTAATCACCTGTATCACGTGTCGTCCCGTTAATTGTCGAGTGACTCGAGCGGGTAGCAGCAACTCTTCCATTTTTCCCTATCGCGTGCAAGAGTAGCCCAGTGGGTCCTCCTCGCTTTAGGGATTCGCTGAGCATCACATCTTTCTTCTATAGCTTTCGTGAAGAAATCGGACCAACGGGTCGGTGATCTTCTTGTAGAGCGCTTGATGTCCCGAGTAATCTAGTCGGTAACGGCTTTCGCCCATCGGTTGTCGTTGAAGCACATCACGTGTCCGGCCCACCTTATTTTCGATATCCTGGCGTGCAGAACGTAATAGAATTAAATGTAATAGAGTTTATTAATGGCCGAATTACCAAAGTCTCCCATTCTTCGAACTCTGGAGGGGTCAAACTGACTCATTCTTCAGTCAACCACTTCGGAGGCAGACCTCCGCAAGCACTTAATACTGAATGGAAGAGTGGCGAACAGTGTGCGACGAAAGAATGATTGTGTGCGACGTTATTGGCCTGGCTGAGATGAGAAGACGTCACCGATTCCACACTGTGTATGACATCAAAGAAGATATTTCCAAAAGCAGGAATTTTCAAGAAAGTTGAGCGTTATTTTTTTCTATGAATGCGTTTTCAAAAGCTTTCTCAATGATAATTCAAGTTAGAAATCTAATTATAGTCTCAAAAAAGTCCACTACGAATTAGAAAAATTGGATTGAGATTGCAAAACGTAATCTTTTATTTATTATTCAAACTTACTGTGGAACCATTTTTAAAGTACAAGCTTAGTTTTAGAATTAGAATTTCTTAAGCTATTTATTGACTACAAAACGCTCAGTAACATTTGGAAATATAATTCTTCTTAACAAGGATGTCATTTTTCCCATTGAAAAGGCAAGATTTTATGAAGCATTAGCGTTAATCTTCCTAAAATTAGTCATACAGGGTCCTCATCAGTGATATTGCATCGCTCTTTAATGACAATAATCCTCTGAGAGCTTCATTAACCTGAATTTCTATTGGAGCACGCACCACTCTGCGTAGCCTGTTCGAACTGCGGGCACCACAGGAGGGTCATATTGATCCTCATCGTCCGCAAAGAGATATGTGCATGATTTGCTATCCCTTGTAATCTGTCTTTACTAAACCTTTGTCATTTTTCTGCGATCATAATGGAATTATTGATGTGTTTCGACGTTTTGGTGAGAAAATTAGATATGGCTCGTATTTCAAGGAACGATGTTTTCATATAGAAAGCTTGATGAGTTGCTGCTCCTAACTCGTTGCGGTCATACTGGAGTCGCACTTTGAGTTAATCATTTTCGCAGTGCATCAAAGCAAGTGTGCCACCTCCGGCGACATTATCGGCGACGCTATCTGCAAAGCACACATTCATAATAGGATTGGGAGAGTAGAACGACGATCGCAAATGAGATGAAGTGTTGGTGTCACCAAACGCTTGTAGTTATGCTTAACTGTGCTATTTCAGTCACATCGCCGCTATTCGAAGTAGATCCCTCTATAGAGGAGTCAGTAGAGTGAAGGTATTGGCGGAGCCGAAGGAGACTGCGTCCTTGAGGACGATACAGGCAACTGTATAGCACTTATCAGACCTCATAAACAGCTCAAAACATGTTACATCATCGTGTTATATCATCATTAGGTCAGCTTCATACCGCCTTGCATCTATGTTGCAACAACAAAAACGGTATTCCTTCACTCGTTGATGAATAGAACAAAATGGTCTCACTCTCACAGGATAACGACAAGCTATATGTATTAAGTAATGACTGCTGTAACACCTGTCTAGCACTGTATAAGCGCCAAAACGGACATAGGATATGCTGTCAGGAGATATGTGGTCAGCTATTATAATGCTGTTATGGTGATGTTATAAGTTGTGCCGAAATAATACCATATAAACTCCTAAGCCATCATTTTTTTGTACGCAACAGCCAAGAGTAGTCACGATTAGAATTTCGGAAACATAAGCAGTTGATCAAAAGTTTAAATGCATACTGCAGGCGATACCCATATATTCGCAACTTTCAGTAATTCTTAAATTATTAGAGCAGGTCTATGGAGTTATAGAACAGACTTTTTACTATCGTTCTATATTCACTGATTCTGAGCGCTCTGCACTTTTTTTGCTTAATTACCTTTAGGACGATTTCCTATGACTCCCGATTTCCAACCTCTCAACTAAATCCCTAAAAGATCATTTGTAGGAATTGCGGAAGTCCACTGATACAATAAAAAACCACCGAGTTTTCTCAACTGCTCCTGTGGATATTCTCCTCAGTTTTATCGCTTTAGGCAGATAGACTTTTTTGGTTTCTTCGGATTACCCTAGTTCATATTTGCGAGTAGGAGTTGGGTACTTCTGCGTTACAGAGGAATCCATGCGTAAAATCACAGGGCTTTTCAGAAAGACTAGTTAGTGCGGTTTATTTCTGGTCTGCACATTGCTGTCAGTCAGTATTGACGGTTTTTCAAAGTCTGCCTTCAAAAGTGGTCGACTCATGAAATTGCAAGTCAATTTGACCTTCCTAAGTATTGAAAAGAGAAAATCAATTAAACTCTAAGATAATCAGTGAGTGATTAAAGAGGGTATCGTCGCTTGAAACCTGCTCTGCATTCGATGGCGATGAGAAGTGTTCGAAAAAAGTCAAGGCTCAGGTGTATGATATCGACCTGCTTCTATAAAGTGTACATGCCCGATATTTGGAAGTTCATTGTGGAGCAGACATATCTAAGGTTATGGGACTAATGATGAATAGAAAATGACGGTCTCACTCTCACAAGACGGGCGACAATAACGCCCACTACGAGTCGGAAAGACGATCATTTCCAAAGATGTTGATTTATAGCTGAGAAGTACGAATCATTACGGACATAAGCGTTCTTTTTATCAGAAATACCTATGTAAATCTCCATGACTATATGACATTTTTTGGGGTAATAATGAAATTACAATACCAGGATAACTATTCGAAAGTTGGTCGTACTTTTTTCCTCTCTGGCACTGTGCACTAAGAAGG